ACACACACCATTGCAAAACCTGTTGGCCAATCTCCCAAAGTTGGTGGAGCAGCAGCCTGCATAACCTGATCCAAGATACTCTTCGTAAAAGCATAGGTGGCAAAGAGATGATTTCTAGTCTCCAAGCCTCCATGACACAGCAAGCAAACACCAGATAGAGGATTACCCCATAAAATCACTTGATCCTGCAACTTTAACCTATCATGAATTATGAGCCAGAGTATGAAACCATGACGAGGAACTATCATTTTTTCCCATACAAGGTTACTCCAGGGCACAATGTTATTCTTTTGCCGTAGTGAGTTCCAGACTCGCTTCACAGAATAAGAGTCCATGGCCTCGCCATCCCATGCCAAGCTTCCCCTCAAATGCGAGACAAAAGGTCTAGCCACTACACCACACTTAAGAATCCTCTTCCATATCCAGGAGCCTGCAGCAGAAGCCTTAATATCCCAAACTGAAGCATGCTTGACATGATAACGGCGAACCCAGGCCACCTAGAGAGAGCCTTCCACAGCAAGGACCGCCCAGAAACGCTTAAGAACACATGCCTTGTTCCAAATTTCAAAATTGCGAATCCCCAGTCCGCCTTCCTTCTTTGGCTGAGCAAGGAAATCCCATGAAACAACAACCCTCGACCTCAATGATGAATCAGTTATATCCCAATGGAATTTGCTACAGATGGACTCTACTTCTTTGATAACAAACTGAGGAAGCAGGAAGATGCTGATCTATAATTGCAGAACACTAGTCAATACTGATGTAATGAGCTGCAACTGACCAGCAATACTTAAAGTCTTTGCCCTCTAGCTAGATAATTTTTGCCTTGATTTTCTCTACCAGGACACGAAATTCAGACCTTGTAAGCTTACCTGTGATAAGTGGCACCCCCAGATACCTAACAAGGATGATGCCAAGAGGAAAATTCGAATACAAGGAAATACTTTGTTGCTCAGATTCAGAAATCCCTCCACAAAACAACTGGCACTTATTAGGATTGCATTTCAAACCAGAGATATTATAAAAACATTTAAGACTCTACAGACCCCTGTCACCCCTCTGATAGAACCATTAGTGAAGATCAGCAAATCATCAGCAAAACACAGGTGTGTAATTGATAATGGTTTACACCTGAGGTGGAGGGGGATTTGATTCTGCCTAACTGCAAGCTTCAACATAGCATCCAGAACCTCCATTGAAACCGTAAAAAAAAAAGGGGAGAGTGGGTCTCCTTGTCTAAGACCCCTTTTCATCTCAAAGAACCCACAAATGACACCATTATGTCAACAGAGTCAAATGACTTCATAATATCTATTTTCATAGCACAACGAGGTGAAATACGTTTCATATGATAATCTTTCACTAATTCTGATGCCAAAAGTATATTGTCACTAATGGATCGACCTCTAATGAAAGCAGACTGAGATGTTGATATTAAAGATGACAGGACAACTACTAACTTGTTTGCCAGAACCTTTGAGATCCCTTGTAGATCGTATTACAGCAGGAAATAAGACGAAAATCCTTCATTTTCTCAGCATTTGGAACCTTAGCCACAAGCGTGACAAGAGTAGAATTCAGAACACGGGGCATAATGCCAGATGAAAAGAATTCCAAGGCAACATCTTGAACCAAACTTCCAATCAAATCCCAATGCAATATGTAGAACTCAGATGGAAACCCATCAGGGCCTGGAGCCTTGTCTCTCCCAAGGTTCTTGAACACTTGATGAATTTCTTCTCTAGAGATTGGAGAAACCAGTGACATAGCTTCCTCATGTGTGAGAGTTTTAAGGGATAGTGCCTCATAGAAGCTTGAAGGATTAACAAACACAGCAGGGTCAACCTCACCAATGAGCTGCTTATAGAAACCAACTACAACCTTGCCCATTTCCTTAACATCAGTCACCTCTTGCTCTTGAGAATTCAACAGGGGGGGTGCTCTTTTGGCGATGAGAGTGAATCTTCACAGATCGATGGAAGAAATTTGTATTCATATCCCCCTCCTGCACCCCTCTAGTAGGAGCTTTCTGCTTGTATAAACTCTCTTAAGCTTTCTGCAACTCATGACATTCAGCTGAAAGCTTCCTTTCTTCCTCCACTAGGGAAGCCTCAGGATTAACAAGAAGAGACAATTGCAATGTCTCCAATCTACTCTCACTGGCTCGGGTCTGAGCAGAGATATTAGCATAAACCTCCCTGTTGAGTTTTATGAGAACCTGTCGAACTTTAGGTTTTTTCCAATAATAGCACCTTTAAAAAAAATTACAAAAATAGCACCCAACCTACATAAATTCCAAAAATAGCACCTTTATTTCAAAACCGCACCTTCAGGGTGTGTTTTATGTGCAAACCACACGGCGAGGGAGCGGTCCTCGCTAGGGGAGCCACAAAACCACATTGTCAGCGTGCGGTCCGTGTTCCCGAGGCGGCGGTCAACATCACCGTTGGATTAGGCGGTGATCCAACGGCCAACTGCCCGCAAGAGCAGCGATCCGCGTCAGTGATCGAAGACCGCGCGCCTGGCAAACTGTTTGCGCCTCGGTCACCGTGAACCACTCCCTCCAGGTGCAGTTTTGGAAAGGGCAAAATTACAAAACCGCCCCTGGAGGGTGCGGTCTGAAGACTATAAATACTCCCTCCCCCTCCTCATTTATTCACACCACAACCCATTATTCTCTCTCTCTCTCTCTCTAAAATTATCTCTCTATCCATCCCCTCTCCTCCCAAAAGTCTAGGAAATAGTGGTCAGTTGGTTGCGGCTAAGTCCGATCTGCCATAAGAAAACATTTCTTTGGCTTTTCCTTCAAAATCCGCCGAATCTCTGCCCGACTTTCGCGTAAAAATGGAAGAGTGGTTCCAAGAAGAGAGAGTTTATTATGATGAATTTCAAGCGGTACATACTGATTTACCAAATTTTTATTGTTGTTATAACCTTTTCAATTAATCTATGTACTAATGTTGTTGTTATTCTCTCGTAGGTTAGGTACGACGTGGATATATACAACCAACGGTATTATGTTGATCAAGGACCTAGTGATCCAACCGTGTTGTACGATCAACCCAGCCATCGTTCAAGGGATGTTTGGAACGATCACGAGGTACATACATTCTTCATCATTTGTCTTTCTTTTAATTTGTTAACGTACTTAGTGGAATATAAAATAAATTTGATCATTTTTAATCGTATTGGTTGTTTACAATAATTTAATCGAATACATAGCGCGACTTACCTAGACTCTTTATAAAGAGATGCATGCCTAAAAAAAATGAGGTTTTAAGCAATTATTATAATCCTCCCATTCCATGGGAAAATCAGGTTTTAAGCGATCCGCGGATCCCCCCTTTTTCTGTATAAAAAATGTTGCGTTTCTAAGAAGATGTATACATCTTCTAAGAGTTTTACGAGTGTTGCATTGTATTCGATTAAATTATTTAAAACAACCAATACGATTAAATTATTTAAAACGACCAATACGATTTATGTGTATGTGTACAATTATAAATTTATAAATTTCAAATATTTGAATATGTATCTCTTTAAATTATTATTCATTTAAAATGTTATAAAATTTAATTATTTGAGTATGTTTGTTTTATGAAATTATAATTTATAAATATATCTTGGAAAAACCTTGAATTATTTTAATTTGTTTGTTAATAATATAATTATAATAAAATTATGGTCAAAGTTAAATAATTTATTTTAATTAATTTAGTTATAAAAAAACTATTACTAGTATATCATAAATAACGTTAAAATTTTCGCTAGGAGGCAACCAAATACTCCGCTACAAGGGTACGACCAATGTGCTCCCATGGAACGATGTTATCTTTCCTTTTCTCAAAAAGGCACGGTTATCTTCTCGTGCCATCCATGCAAGTAACGTTAGTACACATTTGATGGAGGTCTTCAAGCATCGTTCTGGTAGAGACCTTTATTTTCTGAAAATTGCCACCAACGTGGGTGACCCCCTTTCCGGTCTCTTCCGTGTAACCATTCCAATGTAACCCAAGCGTGAACTTTTGGAATGACATCTGCAATAAAACCGTAATTCAGTTAAAATCATAAAAAATCACAAATCACAATAAAAAGTAATACAAAATAAACTTACGAGTTAACGTTAATCACGAAAACAATAAAAAGTAGGGTGCTACAACAGAAAATTGAAGAAGAGGAAGGAGAGGTGTTAAGAGAAGAGGTTTCCCGGAGATGCCTTTTATAGGCTAAATCATCACTGAAAACCGCAGGGGGAGGGTGCGGTTTTCATCTGCCATGCAGCCCCACGTTTGTCAACCTGCATGGCCAACATGCTGGATGTCGGAAAAATGGGGACGACACACAAATCGCAGGGGGGTGCGTTTTGTGTGTCGGCAATGGCAAAACTGCCTCCTGAGGATGCGGTTTGGGTTAGAGAAAAAGAACCGCATCCTCAGCAGGCGGTTCTGCCAAGTCAGCCTAAGAACTATCTTGTCAAGAGGCGGTTCTGTTAGGTCAGAACAGAAACCGCCTGCCCAAGATGCGGTTTAGTACCTGAAACTCAAACTGCACCCTCATGTTGCCGTTTTGAAAAAAGGTACTAGTTTTGGAATTTGTGTGAACTGAGTGCTATTTTTGTAATTTTTTTAATGGTGTTATTTCTGGAAAAATCCCTCGAACTTTTTGAAGCTTACCATAAAATACAAAGTAGGGGTATCCATCAACCTTATAACTCCAAGCATTTGAAAATAAGGCATTGCAAAGTGCTTAGTAAGTATATCAGTACTATTAACTGCTGTGACTATAGTTTCTATTATTGCTAATATATCCAACTTCAGACGACAAAACTTCTTTAGCACTGCAAAGTGCTTCTCAGGGGCATTAAAGCCCCCGATATTCCAACACATAACCTTCATTTCCCACACTTCTTCCCCCTACCCTTACCTTTAGCAGAAGCAGGTGGAGGAGAATCAATAGGACGCCTCAAAAAAGGTCTACTTAAAGAAGGAAAAGCTTTATCATCAAGAGAGTTCTTCCCTGAACCAGAAAACAAGTTCCATGGACTCCTGATGCAGACCTAGGGCAGGAGCTCTAACTCTATTCTTCATATGTGTAACCACTTGGAAGCCATCTTCCTCAACACCGTTGGAAGACTCTTCTTGAACACCAAGGTCCTGCACTGGAACAGGAGAAGGCCCAGTACCATGTTCAACCGCAGAGCTCGAGCCAGCTCCCAATGGCTGAACCACATACTCTTCTGGAATCTCAATCACACTTTTACCCATGTCCTTCTGCACAAGAGATGCTATTTCCTTCACTCTACGCTGTTTAACAACCCAGACCTTCTTTGTTCTTCCCCTAGGATTCGAGCAATTATGTCCAAACACTTGACACTTCTCACATTTGCTGGGGACATGAAAAAACTCGACATCCACCAGCATCTCTGGGCGATCATCAAGGGTAATACTCAACTTGTTCGCCAGATTCGATTTCACAGAAATTTCAACACAAAGCTTCGCAACCCCTAACCCCGTCCCTTGCTTCGTAGGAAAGTCCATACAAAGGGGGGCCGCCCCAAGGAACTGAAAATTTTCTCACTTAATGATAATGTGATGTTATATTGGTTAATTTGGTTAACCAATTAACCAAACTTAAATTTTATTTTGGTAAATTTGGTTGTCGTATTAATTTGGACGGTCTGGTTATGATATTATTTTCCATGGTTAATAAGATTTTGGCTTATTTGGTTTGATAATAAACATGGTAACCATTTGAACACCCCTGATGTACTAGCTTTTCAGCCCTGGCCAATGGTCGGGAGATTTTATTAATTGTATGAATAATAATTGGAAGTTATACTTCAAATTATTTTAGATGTATGCTATATGATTTCAATACAGGTTTAGAATGGTAGAGCAACTTAGCAAGTATGTATTATGGTTAAGTAGGAGTGTAGGACACACATGGAGTGTTCATAATGAATTTATGGTGTTGGTGCATTAGCCTGCTATGGAAGGGACCCCCTTCCATAGCAGGCTAATGCACCAACACCATAGCAGGAAATCGTTGCCATGGGGATTTATTCAGACAACTCAAGGAAGAGATCAAATTACTTTGTCTTTGCAATATGGAGTATACTAAGATTTTGATGGGATCTGAGTTTGCACGATTGTTAGATAATGCTCAAATATGAATGTAATTGTTAACATAAATAAATAATCTCTCTCAACTCCTAATTTCTATTCTCTCCTAATCCAAGTCTCGGCCGATTCTCAATTCTATTTTTTTCTTCTCATCTAAATCCCTAATCCTTTCTCTCAACCTCTCAATCCCTATTCGTTACGAGTAATTGCGGGTGCCGAAGATCAGTCCCTAGAATCCCTAGAAGCGTGGTTCTTTGAGTGATATCAGAGCCTGGTAGTAGGCACTTGTACCAGTTGACACGGTCGCAGTTGACACGGTCGAATAATGGCGATGAAAATGAAATTGCGGCCCAAATCATGGTGATGCGCCATCACTCATCGTCTACGACATCCGCTATAATTATCGCCCATGGGTCCAAAGGAAATCAGGAGCGCATCAGACAGCTTTGCTCTGCGGAATCGACTGTCTGCCACTCAAACACAGTCCCATTGTTTTCCCGAATCGATGGCTGGACATTTCGGAAGAACGGGAGTATGAGAGCATCCATGGCCTCTCTTCCGACGTACATGGTGAGCCGGAAGTTGTTAGAGATTAATTCTAACCATGGGGTCGCCGAAAAACATGGAAAGAGATCGGAGGTTGGCGCTGGCACCATTCTTCCTTCAGTCGTGACAGAACAACCCAGAGAATTTAATGAGCCAAACGCCGAATCGCCAACTACCAGGACTGCCGAGGTGCAGACCAGGGGTCCGAAAATCTGCTCGACGGCGGAGACGGAGACAAAGATTTCGTCGTCGGGGAAAGAAGCGAAGGAAGATCCGAGGAAGAATTAACTCTAATGTAGCAAACGATCTGTCGGCGATTGACTAGGCTGAACGGGTGCGTCTACTATTCCTTCGTGGTGATGACGAACGAGGCGGCCAAAATCGTCGGCGAGCGGCGCGGTCCCAGACTGGTGTGTTCCTCATTAATGGGTTGGCGCTTCAAAAGAGAAGAAGGCGAAGGAGTCGCCGGCGGGTTAGTAGAAGGAATCGATGGTGGCTCTCGTCGTGCCGTCAATCAGCAAGGAGAGAGGTGAAGGTGAGCAGCGTGGCCTCGAGATCTACATCTTGTCACCTGACGACCTCGTCGCCGGAGAAGGAGGTGAGACAGGCTCTCTCGAAAAAAAGAACACCGGGGAAGGAGAGGGAAGAGAGCTGCGACACACACTCTCTCTCTCTCTCTCTCTCTCGACCGAATATAGACGGGCAACCCTAGTGCGCATAGATCTGCGGCTCTGTTGGGTGGGTCAAGCATATCAGGCCATAAGATGGTATGGGCCGGAAGAACGTGCAATGGAAAGGCCCACTCGACGAAGTAGGGATGGGCCAAAAAAATGGAGCCCAGTCGCATGGAAGGATTCTTAGGGTTTCCCCTGGGTCGGTTAGACCAGCAGAGCAAGCTGGGAGTGGGCCAACCAATCGAGCCGATTTAAATGGGGAATGGGGATTTGGCTGAAGAAGGGTTGGCTGGTTGGGTCAGGGATTGGGCCGACGCAAGTCGGGCCGAGGATTGGTATTGGGCTAAGTTCTCAAGAAGGTAATAGGCTACCATTGGGCTATCTTATTGGATTTAATTGGCAGGGATGCTACTTGAAGAAAGAAGTCATTGGGCCCGTGGAGTTAAGAGATGGGCTTCTAAAGGAGTCAAGCCCAACCGAGTTTGAAGATAAGTGGAGTAAGAAGAGGCTTGACTTGGGTTTCGGCCACACCTCTTCCTTCCTAGCTATTGTGGGCCAAACCGAAGGTGAAAACAATTCTTTGACTCTTATTTCGTGAACTTCGAAAGCAAGGAAGAAGGATTGTTTGGCTATGGAAAACGTGACATGTGTCACGTGGGTCAAGAAGAGTTGAAGAAAATTGGAGCTGTCAATGAAGAGGAATTCATTCGTGAGCTGGAGCGCAACTGGAAACGAGGAAAGTAGATGTTAAGAAAGTGAATGTCGACTGCAACCTTGAGGACAAGGTCGTTTCCAAGGAGGGTGGATTGTCAGAGACCGACTTGGTTTCGTTTTATTTAATAAGGAATAATAAGTGGAGTAAGAAGAGGCTTGATTTGGGTTTGGGCCACACCTCTTCCTTCCTAGCTATTGTGGGCCAAACCCAAGGTGAAAGAAGAGAAGATTGGGGAAAGCTTGAGCTTGCCTCCCCCGACGTACACGTAGAGGAATTTCTGGAACATTTCCTTGAAGATCTCAATGTAGATTATAAAGAAAACAGTTCTCTAACTCTTATTTCGTGAAATTCGAAAGGGAGGAAGAAGGATTGTTTGGCTATGGAAAACGTGACATGTGTCACGTGGGTCAAGAAGAGTTGAAGAAAATTGGAGCTGTCAATGAAGATGAATTCGTTCGTGAGCTGGAGCGCAACTGGAAACGAGGAAAGCAGATGTTAAGAAAGTGAAAGTCGACTGCAACCTTGAGGACAAGGTCATTTTCAAGGAGGGTGGATTGTCAGAGACCCACTTGGTTTCGTTTTATTTAATAAGGAATAATAATAATAATAATAATAGTTATAGGAAGAGTGGTGGCAGAGTAGAGGGTCCGAGTAGATTAGGGTTATTTGTTAGGGTTTTGGGTTATTCTTTATAAATATATATTTTGGGTTTCATTAGGAATCAATCAAGAAAAGTATTAAGCAAGGTATCTCTACTACTCTAATCTCTGTCAACTCCTAATTTCTATTCTCTCCTAATCCAAGGCCTCGGCCGATTCTCAATTCTATTATTTTCTTCTCATCTAAATCACTAATCCTTTCTCTCAACCCCTAAATCTCTATTCGTTACGAGTAATTGCGGGTGCCGAAGATCAGTCTCTAGAATCACTAAAAGCGGGGTTCTTTCAGTTTGCTAGTTGGTTGATGAGATTGAAAGTCCTAGTTTTGTATATATTGCTTCCTCTTATAGAGCAAAAAAGACACATAATATCCAAAAGTTAGTCAGATTGCCCTAGTTGAGAGCTTACCGATTTATAAAGAGTTGTTAGGGCTACTTGAACACGCTAGCATTTGTTTTCTTGATATATGGTCATGCTTATTGTCCATATTTAAATATCGATCCATATACTAAATCAATTCGAGCATTTCTACTATGCTTTAAAGCATTAGTGTGTTAAGGTACAATTTGAAATTGTACGATAACGTTAAAGGTACAAGTTGAGGTTGTACCTTAAAAGAATTTGTACATTTATATTGTATCATAAAGTGATTTGTATAAAAGAGTATACATACCATTAAAGGTAAGGCATCAATACTTTAAAGTACGGTATCACTGATATGAATCACTGCACCGAAATTCAACGATCCATTTAATTAACAACGTAAGTATTCAAAATTACATATAACAATATTATTGTGACAAGGTAGAAACAAAGAAATACATGTGTTTTCACAGTTGTTTCAACATCATGAATAAAACTCAACTACACATCGTATCCAGATCCATATGTAATCCCTGATATAATTATGAAATTACATTTTCCTTGTTTAGACTAGAGACCATGATCACATAAAGTACATTGTGGGTTAGTAATTGTGTCCTTTGGATAAACTTTACAGCTATAGATTCTGTACTCTTCTGTACTTAACAAGTTGCTGATGATCACCAGTTAATGGCGGAGTCCATATTATTGAATGGTTGCTCCTCGTCCGGCTGTGGTGGCATAACTTGCTGCTGTTGTGGGGCCGTTTCTAAAACCCTAGAAGAAGCAGATGGAGATCCTTGGAAATATTGATCATGCTGATCAACTCCAACTCCAACGCAAAGGTGCTGTTGCTGTTGTTGATGGTGATGGTGATGGCTCAGCATTGAATAATCGGCAGCGGCGGCGGCTTCTCTTTGTTGGTAACTCGTGAGCTGAAATGCCTTGAGAAGCAATGAATTCATGGCGAGGTTGGAGGCGCCGCCGAGCAAGTTGGAAGCAGAGTTAGCGGGCCAGGGGAGGAGTGAACTGAGCAACGAGGGAGCTTGATTCATGGCGCTCATGTGTAGGAGAGCATTATTATTATTATTGCTGTGGTTGTTGTTGTGGTGAATATTGATGTCGTTGTAGCCGCCGCTAGATGAGGAGAAGGCGGCGTTTCCGTTTAGATGGGAGAAATCCATAATGTCTCCGAACTCGATGTTTGTGTCGTGGCAGGGAGAGCCCAAGGAGTCATGTTGGGATGATGATGCCTGTTGTGGTTTTTTGGCTGATGATGATGAGCTCTTCTCGAAAACCCTACAAACCACCCATTCTTCCTGCATGCACCCACGACGTGGCACAAAATTAAATCAAAGGGACTTTCATATTAATTATGATATATAACTTCTTCACCGGGGGAAAAAAACAAAAAAGAAAAAATGATTAGCTGCACGCACGCACGCACACCTTGGCGGATTTGTATCTATGTCTGTTATGGAGGCGATATTCATGCATAACCCAGTTGGTCTTGTCCCCTCTTGGAGCTCTGCCTTTGTAGAAAACGAGGGTTTTCTTCATCCCGGAGGTTGCAGTTGCAGAGAAGATCTCCTTGTCCTTCCCCGTCGTCTTCCAGTACCCAGCCTCCGTTGCTCGGTTGGTTCGCAGCCCGGTCGGGTACTTCCGATCTCTTAAGCTGAAGAAGTACCACTCCTTCTCTCCCATCGACGCTTTCCCTGTGCATGTGCACGTGCATCAACAAATTAATTAAGGGCAGAAAAGGGTTAATCAGTCTGAGTTTATCTTTTCAGGCCGGGTTTGTCGTATTAACTGAGTTCAGTGATTCATAAGCTTCAGCTTCAACAACACAAACTACAATAATAATGAAGAGATAGGTCGTCTAATTAATTACAGTGACGTGGATACGTAACATTTGGCTTAGCTGGCCAATAAGCACATGTCAACATGGTTAGCTTTTGCTTCCCTTTTTGTGCTAGCTTTATGAAAAAGAGGATGGCTAATGTGTGCTTGTTTGTTTTTTTACAGATATTAAACAAGCTAAGATGTTGCAACCTCTCCCTTCTTTTGTATACATAATTAATTAACATGTACGTACTTAGAAGTCGACTTTTAATTCAAGTAACTAGGAAGTCGACAAAACCGAGGTTGATACCATCTTGTAAAAAGAGTTTGAAAATTAATGATTTTGGTGAACTCAAAAGTAGGATATTTGATTCCACTTGCATGGTCTAAAGAAGATTGTTCTTTTTCGCAAATGGCATAGTACGGAGAACAAATGCAAGATCAATTACAATTAAATGCGGTAGTTTGTACGCAACTGAATTACCACCGATAAAAAAAGGAAGTGGGGATATGAACAGCTTTGTTGGATCTCCAAAAAGCTATAAAAAAAAAGTAAAAAATGACCCAAAAAAAAAAAACTTCCTCCAGAACTACTCTTTTTGTCTTAAGAAGAGTGTTGATTTCGCCTTCTTGAAATTTCAAGTGCCTAGTTAATTATATATACAGTGTCTTTGTTTTTTCTTTTTCGAAAGAAAAATGGAAAAGAAAGCTAGCCATATTAGTGAGCACAAATCATGAGATAATGAGAGAAGAACAAAACCCAAGACGAGGAACAAGCTGAATTAATTGATGGAGGAATCGAGAGATACGTGATGAAATGAGATGAACTGTTCGTTTTTGTTTCAAGCCTACATCAATCACAAGAGTTTGAAATATTTGATAGAGCGCACGACCATGAAAAAAATAAATGAAAGTTATTCAAAGATTATGATTGCTCCATCGAATACCAATATACCATGATAGGCAGGGAACAAGAATGAGTAATAAGAAGCAAAGCAAACATACCAGGAAGATCCCAAGGTTCGTTCTTGTTGAGATCAACATCAACCATGGCTTTGCAAGTGAAGCTCGTGTCCGCGATCTTGTGAGTGAGATAGAAGGAGACGAGCTCATCATCAGTTGGATGGAATCTGAAACCTGGAGGAAGGCTTTCCTCCATTGATCGATGATGCAAAAAGGAAACAAACAATTACTGCACCTACCCTACGTACGTACGGGCGATCGATGATACTGAGGGAGAAGAAGAGCCAAACCCTAGCAAGCAGCTATTGGTCTCTTATATTGATGAACATGTGTGGGAGCTAAGCAAGCAGAGAGAGAGAGAGAGAGAGAGAGAGAGAGAGAGAGAGAGAGAGAGGGGAAGAAAGGAAAGAGAAGAGAATAGAGGTGTTTAATCTATTAGAATAATTTGCCGATTTGTCGGTTTTTGGTTTGGGCTTTTAATCCTGATAATTACAGCTAACACGTTGACAAAGATTGGTGCTACGAAATTAGCTTGACACACCAACACTTATTTACCAAGAATGCCACTCTCAAGACTTTTGTTCCTCTTGGTGGCTCGGATTTGTAGGAGAGCTAGTAGCTAAACACGTAAACCGAAAACGACAGTGAGTGGAAGAAAAATAATTGCAATGCAGAATTTTGTTGCAAAATGTTTTTATAATAATTTTCAATGATTGAGTTCTATCTCCAAACAGGCCGGGCTACTACTGCATACAATTTCGCTAATGTCTTACTAAACATATATACAGTATGTTGATAATCTCATTTCAAATTATTCGTGAATTACGCCTAAATGATTTTGGAAAGGGATGGAGATATTTGTATTTCTTGCCCAAAAGGGGTTGAGTGCATCTTTACACCAATGAGGTTTGCTTTTAGATTTGGTTGGGTGTTAATATTCTAACCTCGTGTCCAACCACCTTCACCCATTTCTACCCACCCCCAACTCCAGTCAGTAACCAATATTGCATTAATCTTTCCCTTAATTATCTTGTAAATATATAGATTAAGATATGAACAGTACCATAATTAGCAGCTATGGGATGTAAAGTTAATCAGGTTTTTCCTTATTTTACCAATTCTCGATTTGGTCATCAGCGTCCTCGCCTTTGGTTTCCGTGTTTGGGGCATCAAATCTATACTCTTCTAATTAATTAATTCTCGGAAACAATTCCACACTGTTTCCTTCTTATTTTACAGCTTAATTTATACAGGCGGCTTAATTTAATCATAAAACTTTACAAGTTGTACCCTTATGTTATAGTACAACTTTACAACTTGAAATTGTACCATCACATAAAGGTACAAGTTCAAGTTATACCATAAAGAATATGTACAAAACAGTGTAGGTATAATCTAAAACTGTACCATAATATTGAATGTACAATTTCAAGTTGTACCATAAAGATAAAAACCTATAGCACCAATACGATATAGTATTGTAAAATTCCTCTGCAAAACAGCGATCTAACATATATTATTGATCATAATTAATATATAAAACAGGCTATTGTAAAGAATTTCAATAATGTTTGATTCCCTGAACCTCAATGCTGTGTTGTCCATAATGAGAAGTCAATTGGAACTTGCTAAAACTAATCCAAAGGTTCTTTCGTTGGAACAACTTATCTTAGCTTTTGAGATATAGTTAATTGATTAGTTGCTTATCTTTAATGGTTTTTCTTTTCGGTTATCATTATTAATGGCTGCTGGGTGCTGGCCGGCCATGTTCAATGGGGAAAAGGGGTCGAGTGAAATGCATGAAAGAAACTCTCTAGATATGCTGACGCTACTTACATGATCCCAAAAGTAATGAAACGCAGACTCTGCCTCGTTCTTGGAACTGGTAAACAAGAATATGTAGACGACCTTGACACAAGGAGATTGGAAGAATCAAAAGACAACCGGTGGTAGTATGAAGGATTGAAATACCGTTTGAGGGGTCGTATCGGAAAAGTCAGCGGTAGGGTATTTAATGTTGAAATCGTGGTTCAACCGTTCCATACTGCAAAATACCGTCAACTGATTTTGCTTTTAGTAGGAGGTTTTTCCCGTCGAACCGCTAATACAGTATGGTTTTTTTTTATCCTAAGAATTAGAGTGAATCCGTGTATAGCTAGTAGGTGATAAGCGGTCTGGTCTGGCTAGGTCTGCTAGTCGAAGTGGTTTGGCTTTCAATCGATAACCGATTAGGTTACCTATTAAATCGTTAGATTATTGGATACTTTATCGATGAAACCGTTAAGCGGAAAACCGAATATCAATCCTAGACCTGGTTGTGAGGAGGAAAGTTAGGGATATACAAGAGAAGTTTTGCTACACAATTTAACTAGTTAGCTAGGTAGTTAATTGCAAGCTTTATTCAGATTTGTAGAAAAAGTGGAGAGCTGATATTGACAGTTGCACTTACATACACATGCATGGCCCCTATTTCATAAGATCGCTGGACGTAGCACTATTACGCTACATTTTAATTTTTTCCATTCTCTTCCTTTTACACATATGGGCCTCAGTCTCATTATTAGAATGAATGCAGAAGACTTTTTTGTTTGTTTGTTTTTTAATGAAAGTATTTTGTTGTGGTGATTTTTATGGTATTGTGAAGTGGATAAAAGGGTTGATTGTTTTTTTTTTAAACTGTCGATTGGATGACACATTTATCTTATTGCAATGGGACTTCATCATTATAAAAGAAAATGACGGCGGATCGCACAAATAGAAAGAGCAAGTGGTTGGTCAATACTTTATCAGTGTTGAAACATGGTTCCACCACTTGAAATGTTTCATTGGTGCAATGAGACTATCATTGCAAAAAAATAAAATAATAAATAACGATCAACTATGCCAAATTTCCAATAGAACAATCGACCGGTTGTCCATTGCCTTATCGATGTTGGAACAAGATTCATCCAGTATAAATGTTTCAGTACTAAACAAAGACTTTGCTATCATTTAATCCGAGTTAAAATCAACAAGAACGATCTATAAATAACCATCTACGTTATTGGTTAATCAATTTTAAAATCATGTAAACAAAATCTTGTGATTCTGAAGTTTGGTGAAGAAAAAAAGACACCACAAGCAAGCGATAGACCATTCATTTCGTTTGTAATAGTGAAATCTCATTGCAAAAAAATATGTGTGTCATCCGGTTGATATTTTATCAAAATTTGTCGACATTTTTGCCAAATCACGATGATTTTGTCTCAGTTTCTCTTAATTGAATGTGGTAAAGGGCGGTATGTGTGTGAATGGGATCAAGTGAATGGAATTTGAAGCCGGTGGCGATGATGAGCAAGCTAAGGGAGTATATAGAGTGGTTAAAAGGGCCACCAAACCACACGACCGTAAACCTTAAGTAAGCGTTGTTGTTGGGTCTTTTTTTCTTCTTCCTCTTCCTTATTGTCATCTCTCTCTCTCTCTCTCTCTACATCTGACTTCGTCTCAATTTCAATCCTACTACTACTGCAACTTTCCTCTCTATCTCTCTAGAAATGCATCATCCCTTTACTATACTATACACGTAATGACGCACTCATTATGTTGGCCAAGCTGTGATTCTTTGTGCGTTGGACGACCTTCTAGAAAAGACAGCTTCCCAGCCATCAAAATTCAGCCACAAGCTATGTGTGTGGTCGTCGTCATCCTCTGGAAACCCTAGCTGGGAAGAAAGACAGATCAATAACTACTTAATTAGGACCGGAGTGAACATACACTTTCCTTCCTTCCTTTTTTTATGTTTGGGTTCGGTTTTTCAGAGGAACATAAGAGGAAAGAAGTTTGTGCAGTACTCTCCCATGTACATGTTTGGTCTTTATCCATTGACATATATGATAAATGTTAAGTGAGTTGGTAAGAAGATAGTCATGAAAGGATTGTTTAGCAACTATTTCAAGAGACTTCCACGCAGCTTTTTTTCCCAAGCTCCCTTCTTCATCATTACAACACCACTAGTAGTGCAACTTCCAAATGGGGGTTCCGACCTAGTTCATGTCAGGCAGATAAACAAATCTATATAATGATAGCGGATTAGAAGTAAGAACAACTCATTAATTAGTAATATATATAATGATTAGCTGGCGATATATGATTTAGGGGGTGAAATTGGACTAAACCCAGTCCTGAACCTAGACTAGAACTATCCTAAAATATTCAATTTTATAGGGTCAAGCTATAAATCTAGCCTGACTCTATTTTTCCTTGATCCTGTCTGGCACGTTTGGGTAGGGTAGGGTTGGGTCGGGTCGGACTAGGCTGAGTAAGCAGATTACCAAAATCAGCAAACTAATATTTGAAATATTATATTTTAGTACCCAGATATATTTTTCTTACAATTTATAGTGCTTAAATATTATTTTCTTACAATTACGTCTAGACATTTTGATTGAAAAGTTACTTTTAATACCTTCATATTTTTCTAATTGCATTGTATTACCTAAATTTTAAACTTTTATAAATAGGTCTAATCTTATGTCATTTTTTTTCTTTTTCTTTGTTCTAAAACAAACATATATGCGAATATATCATCACTGAATTTGTGAATTGGTTGAAGACGAATAGTGAGATAGTCGATATTGCTTTCTCGTATGTATAATTATATATATACACCGTACCCAAATAGACTCATTTGGTCCGACCCAAAAGGGTTGACTCAAATTAGACCTAACCCATACTCAACTCAAACTTAAATTACTAAGAGTGCATATGAGTTCATCTAGATCCAATCCAATTTCCATACGAGTCAGATGACAATTGCATCCAATTGCCAATGGGTTGATCAATTGCCATTATAGACTGCTTAATTTATCGCCAGTTCATTGACTCAACTTCGTATACGATTTTCTCTTATTTAGTTTCTGGTGTTCGTGGGCAAGAAATTATACATTTTATCCGTGAAAGGGAAATATAAAGTGCCACACTTTTTCCTTGCATGGAAAATTCCTCTCGATAAAAGTTCTCTCCTATATTTCTTCTGGGCGTATAAATAGATCTAGACCATTAGCTTTGTGTGATGTCAGAAGGATCCAGATCTAAGGGGTGAAGATTAATAACTTTTTATTTTACCTATTTTTCTTAAAAAAATTTAGTAATTAGGAAGTTTTATTAAGCTCTCTTGACCAAAATAATCAAGCGTCCGAAAAAACTAGACAAAAGGAGATTGTTTACGGAGAAACCACAACCCGGTTTTCTCAAATCAGTGATCTAAACTCACTAACACTAGTAAGATCAACACAAAAGGCTCTATTAACCATAGCTACAAGCAGAATTTCCTCACGCAATTGCCGAAGCAGCACCTGCCAGTCAAGTCGAGGCCCACCAAAGCTCTGCTACAAAGTTCCTTTCAGATTAAGTACGTAATCCAGCACCAAATAGTGCTTGCATAGGGATGGCAATGGAACGGGTTTGAGGCGGGTTTGCCTAAACCATCCCCATCTCGTTTTCAAATACCCAAACCCATACCCGCTCCATACCCATGCGGGGAATATTTTATAAACCCATCCCCATACCCGTGGGTTTCGGGTACCCATGGGTAATACCTGCCTTGTGCATCTAACATTATTATACCTAAAACTTTACAAAAAAATTTAATTATAACACTAAACGAACCTACTATATAATGAAGTCAACAAAATACGATCAATTTTTTAATACGATTCAAAGAACATGATATAAAAACATCTATTATGCATGAGTACAATATTTTCTAAATTATTATGCTCTACATTTCATAGATCTACTAAGTAATAATTAACTAACATAACCTTGTTGATAAGGGAGAAAGTGAAAAAATGGAGGGAGAATTGAGGGAAATGAATTTAATTTTGATTAGGGTGGCCACTCAATTACATTTCTACTATTTATTTTCCCGAGTTACCTTCACTATCATTGATAGGTTAGAATTTGATTAACATCTTTTCTATATATGAAGAAATTCTCTTGGTGGGGCGGGTATGGGTATTGGTATGGCTATGGGT